TTGAAGTTTTCTCCATTCTGCCAAGATAAGACTACGGATAGCGAACTTGAATTTATTCCTAATGGCAGCTGGAGACCAGACTTTAGACTTAAAACACCTGTCTCTTCTTGCCAGTCACAGAATCCAGAAGCCTAAAGCTCTAAACTTGTTTGCCAGCAGCGATATCTTGTCCTGATTGCTGTTACCCATCATGATGAACTCCTTAGTCCAAGCAGTTCCGAGGCCATATGCAAAAAACCACATGCTACTGATCCAATCCCAAAAACCTCTCGCGACAATGCACTCCCACCATAAGTGGTTGAAATCCACCAGTGCCTCGTGCGGACATACATCGCAGTGTGGGGAGATTTCCATGCCTCTATTGATGCACCAATCCGCTGTGGGAACGCAAGAGTGCAGATGCTGCCATTGGAGTCCGGCCACCTTGACTTCCATTATGTCGAGTATTATTGATATAAATAGGCAGACCCATGTATTGCCGAAGGAGGGCCATGTGGAGACCTCATCCTTCTTCCTCCAATTGTTCCAGACACTGGCCTGCAGAGTGGACGCCTTGGATCTGATGGCGTACCCCATTTTCGAAGTGTAATCGGTGATCAGGACCCTTTAAGAGGAAGCGGTCTGATCCGCTAGGACYCACCCTGTTCTACGCACATCCACCTTCCAGGAAGCCTTGGGAGTACCTCCCATAAGCAGGGAGAATCTCTTGATATTATTAACATTGCGTTCCACAACGCCCACCTCTGACCAAGTATGGTTCGCCTGGAATGGAACGTCTCCTGCTTGTTTCTTGAGGTGATCTTTCTCCGGAATCCAGACTGAGAACCCAGGGTTCTGTGGATTCTCTCTGGATTCCATTCTGTAGATGTGGCCCTTGTCAGTCCCTTTCTTCCACCAAGATCCTAACTGCCACTCTGTTTCYTGTGTCCTCAGAATCGCAATCCACCCTTGAGGGATGGCTTGCTGTAGTTGYTGYTTATGCTCTTCCACCCTGTGTAGCCCTTGGAGTTTCTKCCTCAGTTCTTCTGTGGATTTCCACTGTCCRYTGTTCTCATGCACCAGGTGTCTCACTTGSCAAACACCCCTCTGCAGCCATTTTCGGGCAAAATTGCCAGGTTTGTTGGCGACAGAGGAGGAACCAGACTGGTCGGTGATAGCGGGGTTATCGAACAGATAGGTGTGGAGTATTTCTCTACTATCAGAGGGGYTGTCTAGTGTATAAGGGAGCATTTTGCTCCARGCTTTGMGGATCTGGKCCCACGTCGATGATTTAACCGAGGAGGTCAGCGGGTGCATGAGAAGACACTGCCATACTGCCTCAGGGTCTATCAGGCCCCATTCCTTACTTAAAATGGATTGCACAAGTATCATCCATGGCTGAAGGGGAGACGTTGTGAGGAGCCCGACAGGCCATTTGGATAACAGAGCTTCGTTCTGTCTTTCCGGATCAAGAATACCCAGGCCACCCTGGGACCGCTTCTCAATGATTTTCCACCAGGCGACCTTACTGAGACATGATGGGACTGTGGAGTCCCCTTTCCACAGATACCTAGTCAGTAGTTGGCGAATCATTTTCAATGAACCAGGACATATAGCTCTGATAGAGAGTATGTACCAGCTTGTGGACAGGATGGCACAGCTGGTAATCAAAGCCCTCCCGAAGAGGGAGTGAAAGGAGTACTTCGAATGTCTTGTGCATTCATCCCTAATCTTGTTTTCTAAGATATTGGCTTGCGCATGACTAGGGTCCCCAAAGGAAACGAGGATGCCCAAGTAGCGTTCCGACTCCGTGTTAACTGTGGATTTGATCCCCATGTCCATGGCTAATGCACTGTTATCTGCTGTTAAGGCTGTGGACTTGGTCCAACTGATTTTCATTTCGGATGCAGATTCGTAAACTGTTAGGCACTGTCTGAGGGCTTGCAAGGATGACTTAGTGTTTGCTGCTATTGCTGAAAAATCGTCCGCTAACGCTGAGACCTTCAGTTCATAGTGGGGGGATTCTTAGGCCTGTGTATTCCTTGTGATTTCGGATCATATTTAAGAGTACCTCCAGCTGGATTACGAACAGAGAGGGGGCAAGGGGGCACCCTTGTCTGAGCGATCTGGTGACTGTGAAGGGGCTGGATGTGAAGCCATTGACCAGCACTCTGCCCTGGGAGCCATGGTACAGGGTACTTACCCATTTTTTGAAGTTAGCTCCAATTCCCACCCTCTCGAGGACTGTCAGCATAAATTGTCAGTTCACCCTATCGTACGCTTTTTCGAAATCAATTAGTATGATTGTTGTGTTAGAGTTTGTGAGTTTGATGAGATCAATAGCTTGAGAGATAACCATAACGTTGTCCAACACTAGCCGACCAGGCACAAAACCTGATTGATCAGGTTCTACGAGTCTGGTCATGAAGGGGGACAGGCGCTTGGCTAGGGTCTTGGCCAGTATCTTACCTGCCACGTTAAGCAAAGATATAGGTCGGTAATTCCGGACATCTGATCTGTCCCTTTTCTTGTACAGCAATGTAATTACCCCTTCCGAGGTTCTAGGGCCCAGCTTTTGGCCTGCCAAGACGTTATTGAACACCCGTAGTAGGTCCGGCCCCAACATGGACCAAAATTTTTCGAAAAACTCAACCGGGAGACCGTCCGGCCCGGGGCACGTGCCCCTGGCCATACTCTTCATTGCCAAGGTTATTTCCTGTAACAAAATTGGTTGATCCAAAACAAGCTCTTCTCCCGGAGACAATAGTCGTCGGGTAGAATCCCAGAGCATTTGTTCCATCTCAGGGGGTACCATTGGTTGAGTACGGTCTTTTTCGGATGTTAGCAGTTTTTCGTAAAAGGATTTGACGTATTCGCAGATGTTGGTTGAGTCCCTCGCTCGTAATGAATGGGGGGCGAAAGGGTGGGTCATTTCCGTGATTACCGAGGCTTTATTACCATCCTGCTTAGTTGAAAAAGTTTAGGCGTTCATTCTGTCTTTGGAGATGATGGAGTCTATCTGTTTGAATCTTGCCCATGCTTCATGTCTCCTAATCAGCATATCCTGCCACTCGTGTAGCCACTGGGATCTCCTGAGTACCCAGTAGCTGTCGGTGAGTGCGTTAAAACCCATGTTTTTTTCTGCCCTTTCGATGTTCCTCTTCAGCTTTATTTCTTCGAATCTCCTGTTTATTGCTTTCTCCCTCGAGATGGTTTGAAGGAGGGCAGACAACAAGTGCAGCCCTTTATCTAACCATAACCCCGGGTCGGGAAAGAGTCGGGTGGAACAGCGTCATTCTTCCCAGAAGGAGTACACCCATTCCACCATGGTCGAATCTTTCATTATGCTCATATTCAGTTTGAAGGTACCATGACCCTTTTCCACCTTCACTCCCATCGACGTAACCAGCGAAACTGGTTTATGGTCCGAGAGTGAATCATAAGTGATTTCTGCTTTCAAGATTAGGGGAAGGACTGATTCGCTAACCGGGATCATGTCCAGTCTCCGACGTGTAGCTAGTAACTCATTGTCGGAGTTGGAAGTTATCCACGTGAACTCTTTCTCTGTTGGGTGAAGATTCCGATAAGGGTCGAAGAGAGCATTTTCCATCATTAATTCGTTCAAAGCTATTGATTCCAYGGGATGTGAGAGAGCAGAGGATGAGTCCATTGATTCGTTCACTACTGTGTTCCAGTCGCCCCCTACCAATAGGTACTCGGTAGTGGGGATGACCGCCTTTAAGGATTGGAAGAAACTTATTTTTGTGACGTGGTCCGCTGGAGCATATATTGAGAGTATGCACCATTTTTTATTCTCGATTGTGATGTAGGCTTTCGCCCAGCGCCCCTTTGTGTCGGTTTCTATGTCTGAAACAGAGTTGCTAAGTGAACTGTGAACCAGAATGGCAACCCCCCCACAGGTACCGTCTGCCGGGGACCAAACCTGCTGGCCGGACCACCAACGTCCCAGTTCACTGATTTTTTCTGCATTCAATTTCGTTTCCTGCAGAAGAATAATTTGGGCTTTGCTCTGATGAATGCTTGCTTTGAGCCTAGCACGCTTGTGTCTACCATTGCCGTCAACGAGTCCTCTTACATTCCAAGAAGTCACCCGCACTCTAGAGCCCATCTGTTCTCACGGACGGGGCCGCAGATTGGATGGCAGCTTGGGACGGGCCCCCAGGTTGCAGGGCGGCTGGGTCCCAGGGAGCCCTGAGGGCGTCCGAGAATGAGCGGGAAAACATCTTCTTATCTTGTGTGAGTATGTCATTGATCTCAGTTATGATTTCCCCTCTGATGCCATCACCCAGAACTGGGATCTGGCGTTCATCGCTACTTGCTTTGAACCAACTGAGCGGCGCCCAGTATACACCACTGCTGGCGACCAGAGGGTCCACGCCTGCGAAAAGTGTTGTGTCCAGACAGAGTGCACTGATCGGATAAATCTTGCCTGAGGCCCCAATCTTATTGAATGTGATCATTGGGTGATCCGGGATAGGCCTTACAGCAAATCTGCCCTGAGCCACTTCCATTCCCAGATTAAATAGGGTTAATGGGTCGGGGGGGATGCCACTGACGCATACGGGAAGTTGTAACCTCCCTGATTGTTAACCTTCAACATGAGGAACGGTCCCTGGTTGGTATTCTTCAGCAAAATTGGCATTGCTACGCACGAACCTTTCGTTGTCCCCTCCGTGGCGTTGGTCTTGTTCCCTGCTGGACCTGGGGCAGCGTCCTCCCCGAACGCTTGAGGTCTTGTTCTTTTCTGGGAGTCCTCCCTACCTTTGTCTTCTACCAACATTGTTGTTGTAGCTCCGTTGACGGCATGGCCTTCCGGGTGTGAGGACGAAGGACCAGCTGTGCCGCCCGTGCTCCCTTGTGAAGTTCCCGCTGGGACTGCCTCTGCGTTCAGGCCTTTCCACTGTCGAATGTTTTGGTGCCAGGTTCCTTTGGCACCAGACGGCGCATTAAGCTGTGTGGCATTGGAGGGCACTTGGCCTAGGCGAGAGGGGGTGTATTGACCCTGTCTGTCTAGCCCTGTTGCTGTGTTACCCCGAGGATCTGGAGCACCCCTTCCGGGCTGACTTCCCCTGCCTGCGGCCCCCGAGGGCTGGAGCAGGGGGTTCAGCCATTTGGTTGGGGTTGTGGTCTTCTTTCTTTCTTTCTTCGTGGATTTGTGCTGTGGGTTCATGGAGCCCGAAGCGGTGGGCATGCCCAGAGCCTGGAATGAGCCGAGGCCTAGCTTCCGGTTAGCAGAGTTGTCCTGCCTCCTGCCTGCAAGAGTTAGTGTGTCTTGTCCCTGATCTTCCTCTCCGTCTTCGCATATGCATTCGTCTGGCAATCTCAAGTATCGTTTACAACCATCGCACCGAGGGGTCTTGCTGTTAACAAGATCACCTGTCAGTGATTCCTTTCCGGTACAAACCTTCAGGGAACGCACGTACTTTGCTTCTGCGTCTGGGTGTAACTGAAATTTGAGGTTACCCAGTCCGGGATCGATTGGATCGCTCACCGGGTCAAATTCCTTCAGAATTTTCCCCATTACCATTTCGATACCAGACTTGATATAGAAGGAAGCGTTAATCGGAAATCTAAGCGCCATTACCCAGTAGACACTTCTTTTCTCTTCCTCCCTCTGCTGAATCCATTCTGATCGAGGCATCCATGGACGAAACAAAATCTTGTACGTCTTGCCCTTATCCACGAATTTCTCAATTCCTTTCATTAGTAGATAATCAACTATCTCCGGGACCTTCGCTATGTAAGTTACATGTGTCTTGCTCTCAATGTGCGCCAATCCCCTGTGTGTCAACAGCTTGTCTTCTGGAAGCAAGGCGTTTTCCAAAGAACGGATCATATCTAATTTCCTGTCGTTCTTCATGTTCTTCACCTCGCCCTGAAATATAACAGTTATTCCCATGGTCTTGAGGAATTCCTCTTCGACTGGTCTAATATTCTCTTTAGGGTGGATCTCAATACAGCTTTCCTCCTCATCGATTTTGGCCTCAATGAAATCGGACACGTCCTGATTAACGTGATCCAGGTACCAACCGCTAACTAGGTTTGCGAGACGTGAAGCCTCCTCTTCAAGCAATAACTCCATGATCGATGAGGGAGTAGCGTTTTGAGTTACACCCCGTGGGCTGTGGACGGAGCCCTAATCCGAAGTGTTCATTGGGGCTGACGAGTGGGGTGTGTATTGCCTCCCTGTGGCGGAGGTGGGAGCGAGACTGAGGAAACTGTAACAGTGTTAAACAGCAGTGTGGAGCCGCCGGGACCGAAGGATGTGAAAGAGTAGAAGTTTGGCACTCGAACCCGATCTGGCTGACTTCTCTGAATTCAGAGCCAAGGGGTGGGCGTGACGTGGGAGTGGACTAGGGGTGAGGGGTAGCGCAGGAATATTAGTGAGTGTCGGGGCGGAGTGTGGGAAGTGAGGACTATAGTACTTCGAGTGACGGAGCGGAGTGCTGGGGACGGCGGGAGATTTTTAGGCGCGGGGATTGAGGTTATGACGCGTGTATTTAGACCTTATTAGCGGTAGAGGGAGGAGAGTTGCCGGTTGGAGCAGGGTGTAGTGTCGCGTTGGGGGAGAGCGGTGCCCCGCGGAGAACCCGAAGGCGAGGTGCGAATATCGGCGACTGTAGTCTGCCCTTATTCGGAATAGCGGTGAGGGGAAGGAGGAGACTACGGAGATAAAAAAAGGAATTTGATGCAGGGATGAGTGCGAGTGGGCCCCGCTTACCTAATTCGGAAGGGGGGAACAGTGTAACGTGAGGGCGAACGTGTCCGTGAACAGACCGGGACTGTACTTTGTAATGATGAATTACGAAATAAAAAAGGAAAGGTGCAACTTTTACGAGTTGAAAACGGGAGCGTTCGACGAAGACATCACTTACCTAAGAATAGTAGAATAATTGTTAACGCCCAGAGCAGAAAGTCGCAAGAGTGGGAACGCCTCACTACAGGATCCAATTTATACGATTTGTAAGTAAGAATCGTCCGACGGGAGCATTATTTACCCCAACAAGAAAGAGAATTACTGTTCGCGCCCACAACAGAAGAGATCCCGAAATTGGGAGCGCCTCATCGGAAGAACCTAGACAAGAAGACCCTAACAATTAGTGTGGGGGTGAGGGGGAGGGGGAAAGAGTGATACCTGGTTCATGAGAACAGTGGAATGGAGATCGGCCTGAGATCTTGTCCTCAAACATCAGCTCCATGGAACACCAATGATAGATCCTGGTTGCTGTTGTAGCGGAACGCCTTCCAGAGGCGTTACGCTGGTACGACTGGGTAAACTCACGGTAAAGCTCGTCAACAACTGCGAGAGAACCTGGATGGAGGACCGGCCACCACACGTGTTGCCCTACCTCGTGGAAAGGGGACTCACTCGGTGTGTATGGGCGAACACATTTCCCCTCCCGCTTGCTCCACAGGTGGGGAGGATGGATATGGCGTCAAGTTACCACGGTATACCGGAAAGCCACGCGACGGCGCATGCCACAGCGCTGAATTAGCGCATGGATGCAGGAGCGCGCGCCGGTCCCCCCATCAAACTCCTGAGGACGTCTTTTTCACGTCGCCCTCCGATCCGGCTGCTCCCAGAAAAAAAGAAAAAGTAAAAAAAAGAAAAAGCAAAAAAAAAAAAAAGGGAAAAAGGACAAAAAACATGGCAGTGTATCTTGCCATGTTCCAGCAATATATTCATTCTCATCTTGCACATTTACTGAGCAGTGGAACGAAGCCGGATCTCACATCCATTCCAAAGATCCGGTGGGCACTTCGATGCACTTCTGATGCCGCCGTTGCATCCACACTCCGCCGGATTCTTTACACCGCCGAATCCTTACAGGCTGCGAACATCACAACAAAACAGACCGGTCTGCGGAGGCCGACCCCGAAAAATCCGGATGCATCTGCCTGCAGTCACGGCCAAAGGTGAGTCAAAATATGGTTTTTGTTTTCTTTTTCTTTYGTTTGTGATGTGATGTSGCSTCASCATGCCTGTATCGAGGCCCATCCAAATTGATCCCCAAACCYCTCCACACAAGCAACCGGTCTCGGGCGGCCTTCAAACGAAATTCAGGACRCCGTCCACAAGCCAAGGTCGCTGASGGATCCGCCACCCGKTTGGATGCCTCTCCCTTAATACTCCCACCTTCCCAACTACCATCCAACGCCCCACCTACCGGTAGGTGGCCTGCGACCACCACGTTGATCGACACAAAACGACAAAAAACGGGAGTGGTAAAGGCAGCTCCTACAGGCTGCGAACAGACTGAAACTCCGGAAGCTTCCGCTGATCGCCGCAATCGTCCCGCCTTACCCCTCTTTCCATTTCTTTTGCACGCAGACCACAGCGTTCCTGCATTTGACCCTAACTTGACGTTTGTATTTCAGGTTAGCCTTGGGCGCTTTTGTGGTCAGTTCAGGTTAGCCTTGGGCGTTTTTGTGGTCAGTCTCAGTCTCGTCCAACTCTGGCTGTAGTTGAGGTCAGATCCATCCATCTCTGGCTGCAGTTGCAGTCAGATTCTTTTTTTCTTTCTTTCTTTTTTCCTTTCCCAAAACATGGGCCCAGTGCCCAAGGCTTATATTTCCCAATGAGAACAGTCGAGGCCGGGATCCTCACAGTTTACCCGGATGGGAACCGCTGGGAGCAATACCCAGTTTCGCTTACGGGCATAGACCCCATGGGGACCAGACAAGGGGAGGAAGAGTCGTGATGCAGCGTGCCTCTAGCTGCCCTGGCCCAGAGCCAGGGCTATCTGGCTATTTTGCCTGTTCGGCCTGTGGGACCAGGCCGTGTGCTCATGCAGTCCAGTCTAGTCCTGCCCGGTACCACTGTCGCTACCAATCCAGTCCAGTCCAGTCCAGCCCAGTGCAGTCAGTCTGCTGGGGGTATACCCCAGCTGCAGTCTGTTTTCAGTCTCATTCTTCATTTGCACAGTTTGAAGTACGTGCGTGTTGAGTCTGCGTTGGAGTTGCGCTGTCCCTTCCAGCTCCATCTCCATCTCCCCCATCCTCATCCATTCGTCTTGATCCGGATGGACCGCCATCCCGACGGGTCCGTCACAATGGTATCAGAGCAGGAACGGTCCCCGCTCCCACCCACCCCATCCCACAAGTGTGAGAAAATTGTGTAATCCCGATAGCGAGATTTTGGGCCATTTTCGGGCATTTTCAAACCAGACAGATGGAAGAAGGTGCAGCGGCCAGAGAGTGACATGTGGCGAGCATTTTCAGACCAACTGACGGGGAAAAAGGTGCATCGGCCAGAGAGTGTGGCGAAAAAGGAAAGCATCGTCACGACGTATGCGCGCAAGCATCAAAGCTAAGGCTGCCGCTCACGCACGCGCATGCGCCACATGCCCACGCTGCCCCGCTCCGCTCCTGGATTATATATATCAAGATCCAAAATGCATGTTACTGTCAGGGTTTGAACCTGGGCAGCCACCAGTTATGCTCGTGCGTGACCAGTGCCTTCAAGTTGACACACTGGCCAAACATTATCCATGTTTAATAGTGTGGCACGTTTGTGATGAAGAGTGTCACACCAACTATTTACCCTTCCCCCTGCGTCATGGTTGTTGTTGCCTGCGCACATGGCCATTTGCGGTTCCATGTGGCAGCTTGTGGAAAATTTTGAAGAATCCCCTCGCTACCGTCTTCACCCGAAAATAATGCTCGGGCGTTATATTCAACTTACCCTAAAAAGATCAGATTTTCGTTTGTTTTTTTTTTTCTCAAATAGAAACATCCTTCGAATATAACGTCCAGGCATTATATTCCAATAGAACGTCCAGGCATTATATTTGAATGTTCCATGGGCAGAGTGCCTTGTGGAGGTAGTATACATGGGTTGAAAAGGGCGGGGAGGGGGGTATATATGAGTTCTAAAGGGGGTTGAAAAAGGTTTTGACTTCCAAGGGGCATATTTCAGTTTAAGTTTTTGTTTTTTGTGTGTTTTTTCGAGTTTATAAGGAATTCGATATTGACTATCCGCCAAAAGATGGTCGCATTGCAATTCTAGGCAACATATTTTTTCTACAAAATTTTTTGATTTTTTTTTCCCCCGGAAGTCTGGACTCCCCACGTCTGGGCGTTATATTAGTATACAAAGTCCGAGCGTTGTTTTCGGGTGAAGACGGTAGTAGGGGGTTGCACTACAGTGGAATCTGGGTGGCAGACACCCAAATGATGATGATGATGATAATTATGATTTTTTTACTGTTGCAGCAAGACCCCCCTGGCTACGGGGCTACGCTGTGTATCACCCGCGGTCATGGCCGCGGGGTTAAACTTCATGCCCAACTGCGGAGTACGGCCCCGAAGGGGCAACCCCGATTTTTACGGATTTTTTCCCGATGAAATAAAACGTAAAACAAAAATGAAAAAATATGGGGTTGTAGGGTTCGAAAAACCCTACAACCCTTTTTCTTTTTTCAAACCGCATATTTTTTTCTATTTAAAAAAAAATAAAATTGAAAACTCAAAAAAAAAAAAAAACAAGAAGATTTTTTTTTTTTTTTTGGTCAACTTTGGTGAGGAAGAAAAAACTATT